AATGATGTACCTTGTAATCGATAGCATCTTAAATTTACTGAAATATACTCTTGCAAACATTTAAAAATAAGATCATACATAAAACATGTTTAGATTCTCTTGGAAGATTGCATCAGGCAACAATGGGCCAGGATCTCTAGATGGCAGCCTGAGCGAGCTACCATTAAGTAGCAGCTGCCTCATTTAGATAAAAACTCTCCATAGTGTCCCATAGTTTCTACCCAGGCTGATTTTTTTTTTCATTTCTATTATCTGCCCCAGCCCAATAAACATTTTGGAATTACCTTCCCTGATTGATAGGTTAAAGTCCAAATTCTTTGTTGTGATTTATAAGAATATTCACAGTTGGTAATAACCTACCTCTCCAGGTTTATATCTCCAACCTCTGCTCTATACATCCTCTGTCCCCCATTTCAGGAAACATTCCAAAAATATAAAATGCTCTAGTGTTTCCAAGGATGACTTTCTTTGCCTTATATGCCTTATGAAATATTTCCTGGCTTTCTCAGGTAAAGCTATTTTTTTTCTGGACTCCAGTAGTATGTGAGCATATTTCTGAGTCTATATCTCCTGTCTTGAAATTATTTGTGTATATGCTTATGTTCTTCATCATACTGTGAACCTGGTAGGGGAATGAATCATAATTATTCATCATTATTTCCTTGCCTTGTAGCTGGAACATGCTCAGCAAGTATCTGTTGAGTAAAGAATGGATGGGCAGCACCTTCTGATTGGGACCTCTGTTTTTGAGTTTTGCCCATGAATAGAAAATTAAAACAGAAGACAGAGGAAAGAGCAAGTGTTTTCCTTAGTACTCTGAGCTTATAGCAGAAGATATTGCTGCTGGTTGTGATTTAGGAAGGTCATTGGTAGTCAAAGTCAGCCTATAGGGATTCTAGTATCTATAGACCTAAAGACACTAAACCAGAGCTAGCTCTATGAAGTTAAAAAAAAAAAAAAGACACTTTAAGATTATCATACAAGGGCTGGGGCTGTAGCTCAGTGGTAGAGCATTTGCTTGGCATGTGTGAGGCACTTGGTTCGATCCTCAGCACCACATAAAAATAAATAAATAAGATATTGTGTCCATCTACAACTAAAAAAAATTTTTAAAAAATTAGCATACAAAACAATTGCTTTTGTATTATAGTTCTGTGAATTTTAACAGATAGATTAGTGTAACTATCACCATAATCAGATATAGTCATCTCTCCTCCCCTAACCATAAATCCTTTGAGAGCCACCAATCAGTTCTCCATCACTATAGTTTTGTCTTTTTGGAAATGTTATAGAAATGTCTAACCTTTTAAGCATGTCTTCTTTCATTCAGTATAATACCTTTGAGATCTATTCAGCTTGTGTGTATCAGCAGTTCATTTATTTTTATTATTACATAGTATTCCATTGTGTGAATGTCCCACAGTTTATGTATCCATTCACTCATTGAAGGACATCTGGACTGTTTTCCGTATTTACCCTGTGAACCTGTATATAGGTTTTTGTGTAAACAGAGAAATCCATTTCTCGAGAGTAACTATCCAGGAGTAGGATTGCTGTCATATGGTAAGCATATATTCAACTTTATAAGAAACTATTGAATTCTTTTTCAGAGAAGCTATACCACTTTGCATTTCTGCTAACAAGGTATTAGATTTCTAGTTGCTTTCCATTCTAGCCAGCATTAAGTATTATTAGTATTTTTTCCCCTTAATTTAAGCATGCTACAGGTGAATAGTGATATCTTATTGTGGTTTTAATTTGAATTTCTGCTTCCTTGAACTGAAGGGGAAAAAAATGTAAACTTACTACCACTTCAGCAGTACTTCAAACTCTGATGTTCTTTTACTCTACCTTCTACTATTTACTTTTTGGAGTCCTCACGTTGCTTATTTATTGCTATGTAACAGATTAACAAAAATTTTAGTGACTTAAAACAATATACTTTTATGCTCTCATAGTTTCTGCAGTGTAGGAACCCAGGTCTAGTTTGCTTGGGCACCTTTAGGATCTTTTTTGAGTTGCTGCAGTTAAGGGAGTTGGCTGGACTATAGCCATCTGAAGGCTTGACTGGGAGGGATCCACTTCTAAGCTCGTGGTTGTCGGCAGGATTCAGTCCCTCATAATCTGTTTGACTGAGGACCTTAATTAGATCCTTGTTGGCTTTCCCCCAGTCTTTATAGGCCCCTCAAACATGGCAGCTTATAAAACAAGTTGCAAAGGCAATAGAGTCTATTAGTCTGCCTGCTACAGTCCTTAAATGGCTGCTTCATGGATTCTGCCTGGGTTGATAGCATCATTCCATGGGAGAAACAGGGTTGAGCAGACAGAATGTCCTTATTCCATTTTATCCAGACTGAAACACTCTGGATGAAACCCATGGTTTAGCACATGTTAGGCAAGTGCTCTACCACTGAGCTATACCTCCAGCCCACTGGGAAACTTTTTAAATTTTGATTTATGAACATCCAGTGTTAATTTAAGGTGAAATTATTTTTTAAAATGCAAGCCATCTAGAACCAAGGGTTAGATTAAGTGGTCATAATTGAAATTTTGATATCTACTAATCTTTTATTTATTAAATCACAACAAAAGAAGGCTTAACTTTTGTATCTAAGAAGGATCCTTTCAAAACTGAAATTCTATACTTAAAAACATGACAGCTATTTCATCCTGTTACTATGGCTGCTGACCAGGTGACCCCAATGAACACTTCTGGCCAGTACTGACCTTTATGAATTTCTTCCACCTGATAGTGACTCCTAACCTACCTTTGATTTCTCTTAATGACTTCCTATGGTTTGCCAAATCTGGCCTCTCTTTTCTCTTACTTAATGTGATTTTTCAATATTCAGACCTTATCCTTGGAGATATGCTTAATCTTTTCTATTGTTTAAGTGTAAAATTACTTTGTGTTCCTTTCTTCTCTTTTGAAAGGAATGGTCTCTTTCAATCAGGGTTCTTTGAAATTTGGGGACCATGGGCTCCTCACAGTAAAATTTTTTTGAGAATGGACCCCTAGTATATTTGCTTATTTATAGCCAATACTACTGAACTCATTGTATACATGATTAAATATAAATTAGAAATAGAAAAATTAATAAGAATAAGAAAACAGATAAAAATAGAAGTTCTAATGTTTTCTGCTTCCCTGTAGATCTCTGTACATCTGCTGCCAGGCAAGTGCCCAGTTTTGGAGACTTATCAGAATTTAACAAGTAGTGATTTGTTATTGTTTACCATTGGCTTCAGCACTGGAAGGCTAGCTGAAAGTTGCCATAGCTGGGAGACCAGTCCTGTCTGGTGCTTGAACATTCAGCTACCAGGGGCCAAGAATGGGCAGACCCCTTAAGTAACCCCCACCAAGTATAACTGCATATTGCTGTTATCTCAGTCTACTCTCCAGTCTGGCTACTGCATCTAATTCTAGCATACTTCTCAGGGTGTGTTATGATCGATACTAGGAGCTGCCCATTAGAAGTACTTTACCTTGGCAGAAATTGGAACTGTGGCCAGTTCCAGGCAGCTTGTGAAATAGGAAAACTTTGCCTGTGATGTGGTCTTTCCTCCTTATGAGGTAGCCAGACTTCTCTGAATTCCTCTTTCCATAGTTTCTTACTTCATCGACTAATCGAGTGTCCTGGCTTGGGTTTCCTCAGTAGCAGAGCCTGAAGCAAGCATTACAGGGCAGGAAGTTTATTTGGAAGATGAAGACAAAGGAGTGGCATAGTGGAAATAGAAAAGGGAGGCAGCAAAGGAAGAGGAAGCCTGCAGAGGTGGAAAAGGCAGCCTTTTTCATTTTTTTAAATATTTAGTTTTTTGGGGGGCTGGGGATGTGGCTCAAGCGGTAGCACGCTTGCCTGGCATGCGTGCGGCCCGGGTTCGAGCCTCAGCACCACATACAAACAAAAGATATTGTGTCTGCCAAAAACTAAAAAATAAATATTAAAATTATCTCTCTCTCTCTCTCTCACTCTATCTTTAAAAAAAAATATTTAGTTTTTTAGGTGGACACCATATTTTATTTTTATGTGGTGCTGAGAATTGAACCCAGTGCCTCATGCATGCTAGGCGAGCACGCTGCCACTTGAGCCACATCCCCAGCCCCCATTTTTCATTCTTGACAGGCATCTTTCTCTATCCACTCTAATTGCAGCATGATCATTAGGGTTGCAGTTCATTCTGATTTTTAGTTCTACTCTTATTTCACATCCTTGTCAAGTATAGTAGAATATGTATGTTCATAAGAATACCTTCTTTTTGCCCTTGTCTTTTCTTCTGGATAATGTCAGTTCAATCATAAGTTTTTTTTTTTTGTTGTTGTTGTTTTGTTTTGGCTTTAAAAATATTTTTAGTTGTAGATGGACACAATACCTTTATTTTTATGTGGTGCTGAGGATCGAATCCAGGGCCTCACATGTGTTAGGCAAGTGCTCTACCACTAAACCTTGACCCCAGCCCCCAGTCATAAGATTTGTGGGTCATTTCTTCTAGAAAAAACCTTCTCTCATTTCCCTTTCTAGAATAGAACTCTTTCTCTGGGCTCCCATAGTATTTTTCACCTGTCATACTGTCATACATTACTGTTTTGCTTTTATTTATTTATGTAATAAATAGGGGAGACAGATTTTAATTTGTAATTTATTACTATTTCTTATTTACCTCTGGATAAGAAATATTACTATTTCTTATTACTGGATGTTTGCCTCATCCAGTCATGTGTATTTTGTTCACCTTTTGTGTCCCTTCCCTCAGCACAGCTCAGTGAATATTTGTTAAATGAAAGAACATAAGGCATCTTGGTCAAGGATGATTTGGTATTACCATGCCTTTTCCAAGGGGAAATTGGTTTCTTACCTTTCCTGTCAGCTGTTTTCATATGATGATATGCCCATTAAGAAATATATTGACATACCTTGACTGTTAGGGGAACAAATTTATTGTTAATGAGTGGGTTTAGAATTGTAAACATGATTTTGCCTGTTTGTTTTTTCTTTTCTCAGATTGGGAGAACACATTCCCACTTAACTGCAGGAAAGTTAAAGAACATCCGAGAAACAAAAACCTCAGTTTTGCAAACGCACAAGGTGCTGATCCAGACAGTATGGTGCAGTGATCCTAAGCAGGTGTTTTAGAGTCAAAGTGCTGGGTTCAAATCCCAGCTCTGTCTTTCATTTGTTATTTGACTTTGGCCTATTGTTCCTAGCATGTGAGTAGTGTATACTTCATAGGCTAGTATGTGGATTAACTAAGATTAACATGTCAAATTAATAAGTCTAGAACATTGTAAGTGCTCAATTAGTGCTTAATTAGTGTTATTAGCATTATTGTGATTTATTCATATATATATCAGTGTTGGTGTATTTAGCAATTAGAGGCTGGCTGTAGGACTCCAATAATGGTACTCAAAGTAATGTTTCAGTGTTCTTTGTATAATAGAAAAAAGTAGAGCTATTCATTCAAAGAAGATTCTAAGTATTTTTTTTTTAAACCCAAGGGCACTCACTCTATCACTGAGCTACATCCCTAGCTCCTTTTCATTTTTTATTTTGAGATAGGGTCTTGCTAAGTTGCCCAGGCTGGCTTTGAATTTGTGATTTGCCTCAGCCTCCCCAATAGCTGGGATTATAGGTGTATACCACCACACCAGGCCAGATCTAAAATTTAAGAATTTAGAATTTTAATTTTAAGAATTCTAAATTGATACAATTTGCTAATCTAATTCATAGTTCAGAAATTGACTATTAAAATATCTAAGGGTTGGGGTTGTGGCTCGGTGGTAGAGTGCTTGCCTAATGCATGTGAGGCACTGGGTTCGATCCTCAGCACCACGTAAAAATAAATAAAGCAAAGGTATTTTATATGGACTAAAAACATATTAAAAAAATAATCCCTAAATCCCAGGTTCTTTCCCTCCTCTCTTTTATTTCTGTGATTAAACAAATATTTGGTGATCTTATGCATCTGGAGCTGAGGATGCCAAGAGGAATGGAATGGATTCTTTCCCCTTAGGATTTAACATGTAAAAGGGCAAATTACAGCACATTTTGGGAGACTTTATAATTGGACACATGCATGGCTTTGAGAGCCAGGAGACAGAATGACTAATTCCCTTTTGGTGATTCAGGAAAAGCTTCACATAGAGAAGGTGACATTTGAACAACTGCATTTAGACATAGCCATCATTTAATGACTGTGAATTGAACATGTGTTTGGAAATCTAGCCATAGAGCTGCATTGTCCACTATGTTTTCAGAGGCCTGGGTAATTATGCTATCATTTACAAAGCATGTGGCAGCCTCATCAGATTCTCATCTTGGTGTCCCTGCCATGGAAACCTGAACGGTTGTATTGCCTCATAATGAGGCCCTCTGGTAATATTTAATATGCTAATAAAGTACAGAAGCCCAAAGCTGCCTTTCCAGTTATTTTTAAAGGAACTCCATTAGATTAAGTAGTAAACTAGGTAACCATTTTGCTAGTCCTCTATGACTCTCAATTGCAGAAAGACTAAAGAGCAGCTAAAGCTAAAGAGCAGCTTGGGTGGGGTTATGAAACGGTCATGGCTACAGTCCTGTAAATCCCGGTTGGTGAAGCCTGAGAACAGTAAGCTTGAAGCTGCATATGCCGTGTAACCAGCTAGGAAGTTTGGGAGGAAAATTGCTAACAGTGTGGCTACAGTCAGCATAAGACTCTGAGAATAAGCCCATCCCTGAATTGCTTTAACAGATAGCCGAATTGTGGTTGTTGGCATCCATTACTGAATTCATCACTTTGAGTTTTCAGATGTATCTTCCTTTTTTTCTTTCCGAAACTCAGAAAAACTACAGGTTAACTTTCATTTTCTTTTCTGCCAATGAAAGGAGGTGAATCTCTCTTTCATAGATAGGTTCTCCAATAAGAAGAATTGCACAGCTGGGCAAATATACATGTCATATGAACTAGTTTGCAGTGCTCTAACTGCAACTCCTTTAAATGTATGTCTTTCTAGCCCTTAGAAAGAATGTTTCATTTTTCCCACTTTCTCTTAATTGTATGCAGGTTATTACAGTGTTTTCCAAAAGTCATCTGCAGTTGATCTAAAGAATGCTTTTCTGCCTTTATTTACTGAACTTCTCTTTTCTACTTGTACCGATATGGAATATTTCTGCAAACAGCAGCCTGATCCTGCCTGAACAGAGTCTGGTCCCCTTAGAAGCAATCATGTGACCACTGATATCGCAGCCCATTACTTGAGCACATCTCTTTATTTCCAGGCCAGGAACAGAGAAGGGTTGGGGCAGACAGCTGCAGCTCACAAGATAGCTCAGCCTTTCCTGAATCTGTGACTTTGGGCTTGCCTTCCAGGCTGAAAGTCAAGTCAGATTGGCACTGTTCTAGTGATTTCTCTGTTTGTGTGTGTGTGTGTGTGTGTGTGTGTGTGTGTGTGTGTGTGTGTGTGTGTTTATTTAAGCAAGAGCTCTCCCTGGTGTGTGTGTGTATGTGTGTGTGGTGTGTGTGTGTGTGTGTGGTGCTCCAGAGAGATCTGAAAATTATAACTCTTTTCTTTCAGATCTCTGTGTTCTCTCATAGAGAAGACTTTTTCTCATCTTTGTTTCTCCTGAAACACCTGGAGTGAGGAAAACCTTTGCAGTGGCCAAGCAAGAGACCCAGGTAAGATGTTCATTTGTTGTTAGACATTATGGGCTAATTCTACATGACTGTATTCTACATGATAAACATTTATCATGTGAAAATGAAAGAGGGAATGTATACTCATTGGAGTATATTTATTGTTTTGCAATTTCTTAGGATGATTTTTCTCAGAAATGCTGATTGTAAATCAATTGTTATTTAAAAAAGGTGTACAGATGACTTTGCAATCTGAAGGGTTGTGGCCTATTTCAAATAAATTTGATATTTGGAATAACTTAGGTGATGAGAGCTAAAAAATGAGGCAAGCGACACTTTGAGAAACACTTGTAAGTAGATCCCTCATGGAGTATTATCCAAACTCCACTATACAACTTCATATTTAGAAAGCTTCCTTAGCTCCTTTGGCCTTTTAAGAGGACCACAGGGTTTTTATTTCTTTGTAAGAAATGGAAAAGAATTTGTCGCAGTGTTTAAGAATTCTCTCCAGTGATTTAGTTGTAACACAGACTGGATCCTGAAAGTGAGGCATAGCTAGCCTTTAAGTGGGCAGGCATTTTTGTTTTTTAATGGTTAAATAGGGGAATCCTCAGTTTTGCCACTAATCATCTGTGCCAGGGAGTATGATATTTAATATCTGAGCCTCAGGTTCTTCATTTGTAATATGCGGGTGATGATGCTACCTTGAAGGTTTGCTATGAAGATTTACTAGAATAATAGAAATATAAAGCACCTACTGTGCTGGGTGCATAATAGTCCCTTAATAAATGGTAGTGATTTTAACTTTTATTGGTATTACTGGTGTAGCATTATTTCAGATCTTGCAGCTCTGAGGGTGGGGCATTTCTTTGTGAATCTTCATTTATTCTAGAGCCTACAGACATTCAAGGGGTGTGGTCTCTGGGAGGCCCCAAGCGAAGCATTCTGAAGGAAACTTGAGTAAACACAGCGGATTCCCACCCATGCATGGCCCCTGCTAACCTGTCTGCTAAGAAGAGTTGCTTTTTGTTCAAGTCAGTAAGGTATGCACTTTTATCTCTTAAGAGGAAACTGAGGTGCAGAGGAATTCATGACAAGCTGAGAATTTAAACTTCAGTCCTTTCTAAATCCAAGGCTCTACTGAACTAACATTAGACAGTTAGGAACAATTGTTCTTGAAATGGTTACCTCAAAAGGGTCCCCTCCTAGTTGTCAACTCGCTCTTAAAGATTCCCAATGCACATTAATCTATTGAAGGCTCTGAGAAATCCTGCAGTTAAAAAAAAAAAACAAAAAACTTGTTAAACACTACTTTTTTCTCATGGTGGAACTTTTTTTTTTTTTTTTTGCCTTATTCTTAGAATAATAAACCACATTGATGAACAGACAAACACAAACACACTTTGGAAAACCTGGCTCTAGGTTAAGATACTTCATGATTATAATCATATCAGAAGTAGAGTGAGCCTGACAAGGTGTCCATTCTCCATGCTAGTGTCTAGAGTTCAAGGAGGAAGAATTATAACTGCCTACTTAACTCCCATTGTGGTAGTATGGTAGTGTGGTGATGGTGGGGGAGCCAGATAAATGATAGTGGATTCTGGATTTGAGTTCCTCAGGGCTAGAGCTTGAGTAGGAATTTCTCACAAAAGCTAACATTTCTAGGAAAAGCTGGATTGCTGGCATGGAGAACTACACAGTTAACATCTAGAATATTGCCAGAGGTAGATTCATGCACAGTCAGGGTAGCTGAGCCAAGGTGTGGGAGTTGTATAGAGATCCACTTAGAAATAAAATAATGTTAAGAATGAATAAGAACATCTTAGGGAAGCTGGGCTTACACTTCAAGAATGCTCAGTGGTAAAGGGTGGGCTGGCTCCAAGGGCCATCTTTTGTTCTTTCCTCTTGTTTTCAGCTTTGAAAATGAAAGTGGTTAGGATGAGATGAAATGTCAAACAGTTCCACTCTCAGGTCTCCTTCCTGTCCACCCATCGCCCCACAGTAAAAACCTTTTAGTAGAAGCCCAACCTTTTGGTAGAAACCTGTCCTTTTGCAGATTGTACATTGAGTGCTGATGATGAGTCACTAATTTATGTTTACTCTTAAAATCATCTTTGGTATATATCAGAAAGGGCAGAAGCACTGGGCAGCTTTCAAGCTGTTTTTGCCACAATCCACCCCAGTGGTTTATGTGACCAGGACATCAACCTTTTGAGCCTGAGAACCCCTTGCAGGAGGAATCACTTTTTCAGAGACTTTGATTGCTGTACTAAGTCCTCTCCTTGATGCTGGTGGAGTGTGGAAATGGAAGAAGCTTAGGTTTTTCCAAGTCATGGAAAATCCCCAAGTCATCTTTATCAGCTTCATAGTCAGCCATAAGTGTTCCCAAGGATGCCACAAACACTGCTCACAAACCTGCTTTCCTCTCCCCTCTGCTTCAAGGTCTAGGTTGGGTAGCATGTGGGAGTGGTAAGTGGCACCAGATGTTTTTCATGTTTTGGTGAGATCGATCTCCCTCCCTCCCTCCCTCCCTCCCTCCC